CCCTCACACCAGCCCCTCACACAAACACCAACCCCTCACACCAGCCCCTCACACCAACCCCTCACCAAACCCTCACACCAGCCCCTCACACAAACACCAACTCCTCATACCAACCCCTCACTAACCTCTCACACCAGCCCCTCACACCAACCCTCACACCAGCCCCTCACACCAACCGTGCTGGTGCCATCCTCATCATCCCTATGTCCAATCTAACTGTGCCCACTTTCAGTTTAAAATCCTTCTCCCTTGTCCTGCCACTACAGGACAGCTGCAGACACATTCTACTTGCTGACCAGCAAAACCTGGAGCCTGAACTCTGCAGGAACATGAGGCCTTCCTAGAACTTGGCTTAAAGCAACCCTAAGATGGAGAGATGTGTCTCCAAACACCCCTGCCAGACCAAGAAGGTGTCATTCCTTTAGCTCTGCAGACAGAGGCTTGGTTGCTGAAGTTCCCTGGTGGGGACAAGGTGGCCTTGCCAATAAATGGTCCAGCTCACACAAACCAGAACATTCCTGGTAAAGAAGCTGCACTTTCATCCCTAGACCCAGTCCCTGAGAATCAGGTGGGACAGCCTGGAAGCAGCACCTCCCCTGGGAATCACATGTTTTCCTTCAGAAATTCTGGTCCCAGGGATGTGTTAAGCACTGGAAATGAGAAACCAGGCAGGTATTTTGTAAATCCAGGGAGCTGGCTGTCTTTCCTGGGTGGCTGTCAGGAAGGGGAATACAGGCAGCTGCCCTGACTCTGCCCTGCCGTGGACAAAAGACCCAAGCAGCCTCCACAGCCAAGTCCAAACCAGGCAGAGTCTCCTCTGGGGGGAAACCCAGACATTTTCCGGTCCCTGGTGCCACCTGAGAGGGCAGAAGGAAGCAGGAGTGGTCTGAGGGAACCAGGCCCAGTGCCCACGCTCCGCCACAATGGACAGGGAAGTGCCCCAGGTCCCCCCTGGAGTCCTCAGGCAGGAAACAAACCCAGCAACAAGGAGCTTCCCCATTCTAATTCTGGCAGCCAGCCCTGCCAGGCGCAGAATACCAAAGGGATGAGTTTTGCCTCCTTTCTGCTGACGACACAGCTGAGTTAACCCCCCACTTCTGTCTCCCTCATCCCCGCTGCCCAGGGCAGTTTCGAGGTTGCTCCCATGACTTCACAAAGCCTGCACTGGGCACCAAGCCCTCGGTTTCTTCTTTGCATGGAGCAATAGATCTGCCTGACACATCCCAGCTCGGGCCCACGCTCTCCTTGTGGTCCCTGTGGCTTGGGGCTGGGCTGAAGCTGGAGCCCAGCCCTGCCCCGCCTTTCTCCCCCGTTTAAAGGCTGTTCCAAGCAGCTCTGCTGCTCTGCTGCTTCCTCTTCTTGACTTTGCAGCAGGAGGAAACCCTTCATGTCTTGGCGGGAGCTGCTGCCCCCGTGGCTGGTGATCACAGCAGGGCTGACGGGCATCGTGCTGCTCTGTGTCTCCACCAAAGATGTGCCCATCCCACCTCTCGGGACCAAGGTAAGAGCAGCCAAGCCGGGGCAATAAGCAGAGGATCTTCTTGGTGGGACTGCTGCTTAAGGAGAACCTGCCTGTTGCCTTGTGCAAGCTGGGAATTTGAGCTGGTCTGGTTTGTTGCTTGTCACATTCCTTGCACTGCTGAGCTATTGACTAGCCCAGAGCACAGACTGAGGAGGGGACTAGAACAAGACTGTGGGGACAGGTTGGCATCCTTCAACATGCTGTAGCTTTTCCAACCAAAAACAAGGCAGTCTCTTTGGCTGGTCAGGGAAATACAGGCTGGATATGGTCCATGGATCAGCAGAGATGCCCACCACAGGCTGAGGAGAGACAGTCCAGGTCTGGAGCTACCCCAGAGCAGCCAGAGACCAGTGGAGGGAAAGTGCTGGGTCCCTCCTGAAAATCTGTGGGAATCTGGCCCTGACCTGCTGCTTCTGTCTTAAATAAGTATTCTCTTCCATGCTTTCTCTTCTTCTGTCCTTGATTTTAACTGCAGAGCCAGCCTGCTGTTGGTGACCAGGGAGTTAATGCCCATCCACTCTGCCTCATGCTGCAGGCTGAGCTGAGCCCCGTGGCACTGATGGTTTCATCAAGCAGAAGTAGGTTAACCTGCAGGTTTAGATGCCACCCCTCCTCCCACTGCTCCAAGAAACAGCACTGGATTAAAAAACAAAACAAAACAAAACAAAACACAAGACCTTATTGCTCCATGCTCTGTCATTCCCTGGTGCTGAGCTGGGGCAGAAAGGCAGGGATCTCTTCTCCTTGGTGCTCAGAGGAGCAGCCTCTCATTTTGTGAAGGGAAAAAAAAAAATCCGGGTTTTTCCACCAACACCAATTCATTTCTTCCTCATCTGAGGCAGCTGGGGGAGCAGCAAGGAACAGGAGCTGTCACTCACAGGAAGATGGCAGCAGGCTCAGGCAGGGAGCTCCATCCTCCTTCCACATCTCTGCTCCAGCTCCAATCCCCACCAGTTCCTGACCCAGGCGCTGACTGGTGTAACTGGGAGCTCCCAGGAAGGTCTTGTGCTGAAACCCTTCTGACAGTGTCAACATCAACCTCTCAGGAGGTTTCTCCTCCTCTTCAGCCCCAGATAACAACTATTTCTGTACAGGATACAGCTGAGACTGTGCCCTGCCACCTACCTCCCACGTCCCATGAGTTTCTCTCCTGTCTGTGTAGATGCCCCAGTTTAGGGTCATGTAATGGAGGGGGGAGGAGGAGACCCCTGGCTACCATCAGGGCTATTCTGAGTGTGGGGACCTGCAGGACAGCCACAGAGCACTGGCTTCTCATTTCCTAATGCTCACACATGAGGTGCAGCTCAGCAAGGCCTGGTCAGCAGCAAAGAGACCAGACTGGGCTGCAAAGAGACTAAGACAAGGAGCTATTGGAGAGTCCAGCTTAGGTCACAAAGATGATGAGGGGACTGGAGCATCTGCCCTGGGGCTGTTCAGCCTGAAGGGGGGATCTCTCTGAGGGGTGGAGGCACCATCCTTAGAGGTTTTCAAAAACCAGGTAAACATGGTGCTTCAGGAGATGATTTAGTGGTCATGGGGTGTAGGACTTGATGATCTTGAAGGTCTTTTCCATCCTTAATGATTCTATGATTCTCATCAGTGCTTATGAATACCTACAGGGGGTGTCAGGAGGGTGGGGCCAGACTCCAGCAATGTCCAAAGACAGGACAAGGGGCAATGGGCACAAACTGGAGCACAGGGAGGTCACGTTAAACACAAGGAAAACATTCTTTACTGTGAGAGTAACAGAGCCTGGGACAGGCTGCCCAGGGAGGCTGTGGAGTCTCCTTCTCTGCAGACATTCCAAACCCACCTGGACGTGCTCCTGTGGGATCTGCTGTAGGTGGCCCTGCTCTAGCAGAGGGGCTGAACTAGATGATCTTCAGAGGTCCCTTCCAACTCCAGTGACTCTCTGAGAAAGCCCTGGGCCTCACTGCTAGAACACAGGAGAGCTGGCAGTGGACAAGCTGTTGAGAAGTCTCACATTTGCTGCTGCTGCTTCTGCCAAGACATTATCTTGGTCTCCGTGGAGCTGCTGCCTGGGACAGTGGGTGTGCTGGTTGGTCACAGTGTGCTGCAGGGTCTGGCAGGCATGGGGACAAACCCAGCCCATGTCACACCAGCTCTGCAGTGGGGCATCAAACAGACATGGGAGCCTGGGGGTCCTCAGAAGCAGGAGGAAGCTGCAGCCCTCTGGTTCCTGCACAAAAGCTTTAGCAAACCAACCTGGCAGCAGTTTGAACCCCAGAATCAGCCAAGAGCCTGGATAGTGCCATCTCCCTCTGCTTTAGGACCTTTTTTTCCAGAGCTCCAGGTGGCTCAGCTCTCAGTGGCTCCCTGTGCCTGGTATCAGGAACAGCTACAGAGCCTGCCACTGGAGCTCTGATGTGTCTCTGGGTGTCTCTCTGCTCCTGCCACCCCTCATGCATATTCAGAAGTGCAGATGGTTCCCTGCAAACCCAGATCATCTTCTGGCTTCACTCATTCATTGAATGTAAAAAGCCAACTCAAACACTGCAGTGCAGACCCGTGGGTTACCCAGAGCACCTACAAACTGCTGAGTAACCCTACCAGTACAAAGCAACATGCATTTCAGTGGTGTTTACTTGGAATATTTTTGGGGTTTCCAGTATGGAATTGTTTTGGATGCTGGCCCTTCCCACACCATCCTGTTCATCTACCAGTGGACCACTACCAAAGTGGACAAGACCGGGGTGATCAGGGACTGGAGCTCCTGTCCTGTGCCAGGTAAGGTGCCTGATTCATGCTTGGTGGTCTGAGGGGCTGGCATGGGATGGATGGAAGCCCAGAGATCTGTGTCTGGACCATTGCTGCAAGTTTCTTGGCTCCTGGATCATCCAGCTGCACATTGAGTGGTGATAGTGAGGAACAGGCTGCTCCTTTTCAGCATGAGATTTCTTGACACAGGCAGATTTAACCACACAACTGGACATCAGAGCACTTGGCAGTAGCAGGTGACTTTTTCTTGGCCTTCCCAGCAGGCTGGGAGGCACACAGAGAGGATGGGGCTGGTCCTGGTGTTCACATGGATCAGTGGCAGAGCTTCTCACCCAGATGAGGCAGTGACAAGCAACAGAGACAAATCTGGCTGCAGGGTGACTCCTGGTATCTTCTGCCTCCTCCTGACTGTACCCTGGACAATACATGGTGTAGCTCCACCAGTGGTGCCAAGACTCCAACCCCCATGTGGGGTCTGACAGCACAAGCACGAATTCACCTTGGTTTTACGTGTTACAGCTTGGAGAATATTGGGGTCTTCCTCACTAGTTTGAAGCAGTTCAGCCCTGCCAAAGCCAGCTGGAAGGGTTTCATGCATGAATGCTTGGGCTTTCTTTC